TCATTTGGGTGCGCTGTAAGTCAGTAGCGTATATTTCCCACTACGAAAACAATTCTTATGGGAAACCATTTTGATGTTACAGCATGCTGTATCATATGGGTGCGCTGTAAGTCAGTAGCGTATATTTCTCACTACGAAAACAATTCTTATGGGAARCCATTTTAATGTTACAGCATGCTGTATCATATGGGTACGCTGAAAGACAGTAGCGTATGTTTCCCACTACGAAAACCATTCTTATGGGAAACCATTTTAATGTTACAGCATGACGTATCATATGGGTACGCTGAAAGACAGTAGCGTATGTTTCCCACTACGAAAACCATTCTTATGGGAAACCATTTTAATGTTACAGTATGACGTATCATATGGGTGCGCTGTAGCGCAGAATTGTATATGTTACCCACGAATTATCTTACCCCTAGTGTTCCATTCACCACCAGATGTCCACAGTACATTGCACCAACTAGAAGACCAACATTAATGATGGTATTCTGAGCTGTGTTGAGTATGGCTAATGAGCCAAGTACCTTCCATTCACATTCCTGGTGGGCAGCAAACACACATGGGTTAGTTAAGACGTATTAAAACTGTTATGATTTATTTATTTCTCCAACTGGTTAGAGCTGTGCTACGGGGTCATTCAGTGAAAATAATGTTAGCACAGAACAAATTATGGCGTATAAACGTGCAGAAAAAGTTTCGTAATGTCATATCGTTTTGACCTTTTGCTGATTGCATTCACATCGTCAAAAGCTCAGTTTGGACTTGGTATGACCTTGTTTAGCATATTAAACTTATTTTGCAATTTTACGTTATGAGAAGTTGAAATGAGTTTCCCTAGTTTTGCAACAATTGTGGCAACAATTCTGGAACACTATTTGATGTAACATCATTTTTCCACACAAACAGCAACATTCCTTTTGTGAAAAAAATTTGCGAGACTTTTTGGTGCATTGGCGACACTCAGTTTTGACGCAGGAATTAAAAAATACAAGACTTTTTGCTAATTGTAACGGGGAGGGGAGGGGTTAGGGGTTCAACTGACCTGGTAGCCAACAATGGCGTCATTCAATCGGTTCACTTCAAATTCTTCACCTGCATAATATTTGACCTGCACAAGAAACGAGCAAAAAGATATATGCATATAAGAAGTAAGACGAGACGCTTAAGAGGCTTTTCACTACATCACTTGAAGGCAGCCATGACCGGATGCACAACAATAGAGTATTTTTCCCCTGGGAAACTGGACTCTTTCTCATGTAAATCAGATTAGACCAGATTCAATTGTTTCTGTCTCCTGTCATGTCTGCCTTCACGTGATGGTGCAAACCAAGACACTATTTTTTATCTAAATATTTTCTTACAGTTTCAAAGTTGAGAAGAGAATCCACAGCTTTTGCTTTGGCATCATTGTCCCTGATATTCATGTCACGCCGGAATTTTGTCCTCCATTCTGTGACTATGATTGTAGAAGCTAAATACGATAAATACACAGAAGATTACTAGTCACATACTGTACTAATAGACCCCTTGCAGCACGTCGGGATGCAGCAAAATTTGGAGGACATGACAATAGACCCCTTACATGTGACGTCAAAGCAGCTCGATCTGGGAGACAAAACAAAAGAATTCCAAGATCTCCTGAGAATTGGAACCTATCGTTTTGTCCCTCAGATTGAGCTGCATTCCAAAGTGCTGCAAGGGGACCATAGGTTTTCAACTCTTAGGAGATTGAAATTCTTTTGTTCTGTCCTCCAAATTGAGCTTCGTTTGATGTCACATGCAAGGGGTCTATACAGTAAAAAACCCTTCTTAGCCACCTTTTACTAGGGAATATTTCACTCAAGACAAAACAGGTAACCCAGGCATAGACTGTCCATGTCGACCACAAATACAAGAAATTTAAGAAACCCACGTGTAAAGAATGAATGAACATGTAATGAGATTTTAGTCTTGCATTTGCTTGCATGAAGGCATTCAAGTTCACACTTTGATGAATGAGAAAGCAAGTTCAAATGCAAGTACAAATGCAAGTACAAATGCAAGGAAATCAAGAATTTTGCCTTTGCCTCTGCATTAATAAATTTACTCATAATTCAGCTTGCATTTTGCACTTGCATTGCTCTTGTAAACCAAGCTAACGTTCTGCATGGTACAAGCTGAAGTACACGTGAAAATCTCAGAGTGAACATAAAAAGAGATATGGATTTCAAGAAACGTTTTTTTTTTTGCAGGTAAAAACCTGCACACCCCAATTATCCAGTTGCACTGCATATAACCTACCTAAGTAAGCTGACATTGAGATAAAGACAATGAGACCAAACCAGCCATTGAAAGCAACAATGAAATACACTATGGCAATAATAATATCAGCAATTGTTGGCACAATGTTGAATAGGATATAACTGTGGAAGAAAAAAGTCTTAGGAATAAGGATTACTGCATTGGGTAGAGTCAGTTAGATTGCTTAGCTTACAGTAAAAACATGCATTGTATTGTTAAGATTTTAAAATAATAAAAGATGTGATATTTGTTTCATCAAGAAAATGGACTACTTCGACAATGCAGCAGCCATCTTGAATCACAAGACACTGTGGGTCGTCCAGGGGGCAAAAAGACAAAGCTTCGTTACTAGAATGGAGTCAATTGATATTTAAGGTTCATAACAGGACATCTTGACAAGAGATGAATTTTGGGAAATGGACAGTTCTACAACTGAGAAAATTTCTCAAATATCAAGGGGTCATCATTTCAGCATGTTTGTTTTGTTTTGTCCCGTGTGTAAACCATAATGGCTTGTGATTCAAGATGGCTGCCGCATCGTCGAAGTAATCCATTCAAAATTATCATTATTATTGTCTGCAACTCACTTGAGAAGGTTGTAAATACTGTTTGATCCTCGATTCACCATTGTTATGACCTCACCAGTCTTCCTGGTAATGTGCCACCTCAAAGACAAACTAATGAAAAAAGTGAAAAAATAGGAAAATTGAAAAAAGTATGCTGAATGAAAAAACAAATAGACAATGTAGACCTTGTGAAAATCTGGATGTATGTTTCTCTTATGATTAAGCATAGGTGGTCTAGAGGTTTACTGGATCATATATGAGTTTAGTTTGTTTGATGTGTTGTTCTTTCCCTTGCCCTGAGGATTTTTTAGGCCCCGGATTCTCTGGTTTTTCTCTCTTCAAAAGAATCAACATGTGTGTTGTATATTGTATGGTGTAAATATAGAATGTAGTGGTAGTGCGCGTGGAGCATTTATAATAGATACAGTAGAAACATGAATACAGTACCTGTGAAGATGTTCAAAGAGTCTAACTTGAAGAGTTCTACTTGTAAACTGCTGGATTCTTATCCATACAAAAGTACGCAAGTTGCTCAAAGCCCCTGAGTTTCCTGGAGAAAAGACAGGTATAGATTCATCAATACTCCAGTTGAATTCTGTTTCTCTCAGCCTTTAGCTTCAGTCATGCATTTAAATATTCTGCCATTCAACCAAAACCCATGAACTGTTCTGTAGTATGTACATTCCTCATTATACAATGGCCCTTAATAAAAGAAAATAACATATTTGCACAGCATGGAGGCAAATGCTGAACAAAGGCAAACTCAAAATGGGAGTATTTCTCATGTAAAACAATCCTATTATTCCTGCCATCTAACATGGCTGCTGTCACGTAATAGTGCAAGTCTTTATAGCTTAGCTCAGCAAAATATGAAAAATATATTCAAAATATATTTAAAGCTACAGTAAGATTCTATCACAAGATGCTGGTAATATACGGATAGAATGCCACTTTACCTGTTCCCATCCATTTCAGAGCTACATAAATACCAATCAATGCATAAGGATCTACAACCTTATGATTGCCGACACCAGTTAACTTGTTGACTGTGAAGAACAACAGTAATACAGAAAATCACATCTACATGTAGTTTAAAATAATGTCTAGACTTCACAAAGCATTTAGGATTAATGTCCATTATCAGCTGGGTGCAATGTTTCTGATGCACCTTACCAGGGAAATTATATCAGAAACAATAAAGATGGGTTGTATAAAAAAAATAATAATTTAAACAGTTATGCCACTTACTGTAAGTATTTGTGCATGGATTGACCTTGGTCAAGCGACCGATAAGATGTGTACGTATGTATGTATGTATGTGTGTATGTATGTGTGCATGTATATCTGTGTGTATGTGTGTATACGTATGTAATATATATGTATGTATCATCAGTCATCATCATCACCATCTTCAACATCACCACCACCATCACCACCACCATCACCATCACCATCACCATCACCATCACCATCATCAGACAAACATGTCACAGTTGTACTGGCATAAACTTACCAATAAGTTTGTAGGAGTAGGGAATGAGAACATTGACAACTCTTCCAAGAGCCAGTAAGATAAAACAGACCACTACTTTTAACTGAAGCCACCTTGTAATGGTTAAGAGGACAAATAACTACAGTATTAGACTCAGCGGCAATGTAATCTTGTCAAAATTTTTAAAAAGGAGCAGTGAACTAAAGTGGCTAAACAAGAGATTATGGCATTCTACTGTATACTTAGCAGCTGTGTGACAAGTGTTTCACTTCAGATCAAATGCAATTGCAAACACAAATGCATGAACACAATCCCTTGTTTTAAGGCTAAGAATTATGGTCATGGGGGGGGGGGGAGGGGGGACAAACAGCAACAACCCAAAGAAAATGGTGAAATTGTTTTCATTCTTCCTTTCCATATTTCTGCTTCTTGTATATGTCAGCACATATATTATATTTTAGTCAATTTAAGTAAACAGAAAAATATGCAAAAGTTGGGTTAAAGTGACCTGGAAATGAGGGCTGGTGGCAAAACAGCTAAGCCCACTGTGATTGGCTGAAACGAAATTCGCCGCTCAGCTGGTTATTTACTACTTTAATTAAGACCCACATTTATTTTTTACATACTGACCTGTTTGAAGGCCATAAAAATGGCCAAAGCATCTTGCATTTTTTCCAGAAATCTTTGAAAGCAGATTGACCAGATCGATCAGAAACCTATAGGTATAACATATTAAAACAATGTTACAATACACAAGGTCTAGGTTAAAAGTACTAATCAGTCGTAAGACAGATTCAATAGGTAACAAATATTAATTATGACCACTACCCAGCCTATACGAAAACCTGTTATGATAAAAAGAACTGGAAATTTGCAGTTGAAATGTCATTTCTACTACTATCTACAACAGTGTGACATTTGTCAGGCCAGAGGCATACTGTATTTCAAGTATGACAGGACAAAAAAAAATTGAATTAAAATAAACCAATTACGACTTACCACAGATGTTGCTTCATTAGGCCCTTGCCTTTCACGTACATGTACCTCAAGAACAGGTTCTGGTTTGTACAGTCCTGGAGCCTTGAGTCCAAGCAAAAAGAGCAAAGAAATACAGACATACCTAGTTATAAAAAGACCTAATTCTACTTGTTTGATGGTAGTTTTGTGTTCAAACCACCAGTGTTTATTATTCCAGGAAATAAAAGACAGGTTCTCGTTGATAAAGGCAAGACCCCAGAAGAGGATCATCCCAAGTGAGTGGGAAGATCTCTTTGCTTTGAAAAAGGCAATACTTTCATATCGCAAAACCAGGAGACCAATCAGCCATAAGAGAAGAGATGCAGCATCAAAGAAGATAGTCACACCCTGTAACCTGGACGAATCAAGGCCTCCTTTGGTTGCAAAATCAATCAGTGGTACAATCATCAGACACACATGCAGAAATTGTTGGAACGTGAAGAGGAAGGACATTTGGTCAGTGCCATGAACAAACTTCACTGGATTGGGAATTTGAGGATGACCATTCTCCTTAGAGTTTGTCCTATTGACTGTCCCGAATCTAATATCGTGGGGAATTTCATTGTTGGGTACTGGCCCTGACTCTGCATCCTCTGTTGAATCAAAATTTCTATAGGCATTTTTATATCTTTCTTTTCGTTGAATATATTTGACGAGGCCAATAAACAAGATCAGAGCTAGTAAAATTGCTGGAGGGTAGGTTTCCATGATACATCTTGGTAGCCCTTCATCTTCTGATGCTCCATGAATGAGGCTTTCGTTAAACTCACAGTAAATTGAACAAACTTTCATTGTGTCAAAGCAACGTTGCTAAGCATCTGTAAAAAATGTCAAGAACTTGTTTTAATATCAAAAAATAGAGTGATAAATTATGTCTGAAAAATACAACTTCTTGGCTGTGGTTTTAGAAAAACTGTTTCAACTTTCTGCAAGAATTATCAATAGTTTTGTACTTGAACAATGAGCCTAAACATTCCTAAACGTAAGGTTACGTAATAGGAATTGAAAAAATAAATATCAAACTTGAACCTCTCATATGTATACCCTGCGACAATGGCAAAAACGACAAAAGGGTTCAAGAATCGGTAAAAAGTTGAGAATTTCTCCTCTACAAGAACAAAGACGTAGCTGTAAAAACCTGCCTATAGTAATATGCAGCAGTGAGTGCAGCAGTTGGCATCGTGTCATACAGTAAGCTTACTAGAAGTATAAGTTAGTTATTAATTAACGAAAAAAATCCCGCCAAAGGCGTTAAAAATATACTTATAAGAAAGATAAATGACAACAAATAAATTCTATGAAGTAATAAAAACAAATAAAATATGGATTAATCCGTGTATGGAAAGATTGTTTTCAAAATCATTTTGCCTTAAATACTGTAATGTTTTGATCGCAGTCTTAAGATTCACTTTCCTTTTGAGCGTATATAATCGCTCATAACATAATTTCTGTAGTTCATTTTACTGAACAAAAACTTACCTGCATTACAGAACAGTAGCTAAAACTCTACATAAGCGGAGAAAATCAACTAAAGAAGAAAATTTTGAGTGCAAATGTTTAGGTTTTGTTACAGTGTAGCATGACTCACCATGGGCTTTGTCTGCACTTCAAACTCTTTTGAAGACTGGGATCGAAGATAATACACAGGGAGCCCGGTCAACAAGTGGAGAGCGTCGATGTTTTCCCACTTCAATCCTTTTGGAAATAACATCATGTTTGAGTTTCATTCTATGCATGTATTTTTTTCGATATTTACCGGAAAACGAAGAAACCATGCTGAAAGGATTGACATATGGTTTGAAATGGAAAAATATTGTGAACTGAAAAGAAACGTCATTAAACATAAAATTTACTATAAACTCGCTTTGACCAAAAGTATAGCTATCGTTAGCTTTTGTTATTCGGTATAGTTAAAGGTGGGTTGCCTAGGAACAGAAGCTGGTTGGGTTTTTGCTCAAATTTCTCAGTATTATCCTCAGTAAGCCACCCCCTCTTCCTCGCATTCCTGGTAAAACCTTTGTAATACTGGCTGAAGCTAAAAGAACCAGCCATAATGACACCTAGAAATGGAAAATATAGTACGAAAGACTATCTACAAACGAAGGTTCATTTGTTTTCACCTGTTCATGCTGAGCGGCTATGTGTCTAGAACGAAGAATTTGACCCTTGCCCTTGGCAATAATGACGTCATTAGAGTGTATTACTTTCATAAAGATTCCAAAAATGCTTTAAATGTTAGTTGGGCCAGCCCTAAATTAGTTCATCACTAAATTACATTTATTTTGGACTTGTTTTTCCTTTCAGAAGCGTCCCATTGTTTTGCTAACGATTCTTTATCGTACGATAAACGTTGGATCGAACGACGAGCGACGCGTTTCAGCCGGAAGTCCAGCAATTTCCGAGTCCTATCGAGGGGCGTCCGAAAACAGTACGAAGTTTACGAAAAGTTCTTGCCAAGTGCAGTTTGCGTGTGAACAACGTCAAGTAAATGTAGAATTTTAAATCATCCCTTTTTAATATTGTCATAATACTTAGCCAGAAGAAAAAATGGCATTGTACAGACTTAGCCAGAGATTTAGAAGACGATTTCGCCCGAAGGAGGGAGAGCAAGTAAGGGACAAAAATTCGTTAGAATTCAAGGTCTTGCTTCTTGATGACACCGACCTCACTTTCCACTTGCACGTAAGTTTTTAAGCTTTATTTTTTGTCTTTTTTGAGCTAACAGGATAACTTCTTAACTTTAGATGTCATTGTGGTTTGATAGTTTAACTAGATTGCTTGAATAAAGCCGTAATCCCAGACCAATCATTTGATGTTTATTGATAGAACAGTTATGTTGAAGCGTGTGCCAGTATGCTAATATGTCTCAGCTAAATTCCATTTTAATTAATATCTGTGCGCAATTGTAAGATATTCTTTTATATAATCAATCTTTAAGTCATTTATACTTTAGAGTTTCCTGGAGGTTTCATTTTTTTTTCCCATCCTTTACCACCTGTTTAGAAAATAAACAGAAGAGTTTGTAGATCGCCTTCAATGTTGTATTCTTACACTTGGCTTCCTTCCTTTCTTTCTAGAATATTAGATCGTTCATTGTCCAAATATTCCTCTAATAAATGCGCCTATAGTTATTCTATATTTATCCTATATTTTTATTCTTACAGACGCTTTAGCTTAAATATTCGTATTTACGATTGCACATAAAATTGTACCCAATTGACTGTTCGTCTGAATCGAAGCGGGTAGAATTTCTTTAGATTCTTTGTTGTTGTTTTTTTTTCTTTGGAAATTTAAAAATACAGCTAATTATGCAAAAAAAACTATATCTGTGGGGAATTACTGTCTCGATTAATTGCTCGTTCGCGAATTTAGAATTCTTACAAAAACAGTTTATAACATAGTCTTATTTCAATAGTTACTTATCAAACTGACATGTACATTGTAACATTGCTCTGAATACGTTCACAAAATAAAAAACAAAAAAGCACTTTTGTGCTGTGAATACCCAGCCTAATCTCTTGAGTCATAAGACATAATGGAGAGATAGTATGCTTAGAATTTTACTTTGAATCATCGCGATCATTCGATCTCTTCTATTGTGCATTCTTGAGCAGATTATGGAGTCTGTAATCTATAGCCATTAGCTGGTTGAAGCTATTAATACATTCGCCATGCATCGTATATTACAGCTATTTTTCTTCAAATTGCATATCTTTCTTGGTTATTATTATTATTATTATTATTATATTTAATACATCATGCAGGCCTCATACCCATCTTAAAGTTTGAAAAAACATTAATTAAATTTATTTTGATTGTAAAAGATAAGAGTGATATCGTGATTAGTAGTAAAACGTTCTAAAATAAGTTTAAATATCTTGATGTAACCAAAATAAAAGCCGAAACTGCTCTATTATTTATTTTTATCATAATGAATTTGAGCTTCAATGTGCCAAAACTAATGTGATCTCTAGATAAACAGACCCAAACACATCCATCTAGACATTTTCAATATTGTTTTTTTATCAAATCAAATTGCGTTTAATCAGATGAAAAATCATATGTTTTTCCAATTTATGAGAATGTTAACCTTAATGAATTTGACTTAACCATAGCAAAACCAGCAACAATTTTCTCTCTTTAATTTACAAAATATTTTAACATAATGAAATTAAAGCCTGGGCCAAGAAGTGTGTTTAGGATCAGCACTTGTGGGGGAGGGGGGGGGGGTGTTTGAGTGAGAATAATTTTGAGACTTAATGGCTTCCTAATAGACCTCTTTAATTTGGTTGTACATGTAATGTTTTCGCATTTAAGACCCTTGGATATTGTTTCTTTGTCTGACAGTAATGCTTAAGAAGATATATAATATGCATGTACAAAGAATCTTAGTAATGGGCAGGAAACATATACACTAGGAAATCAATACAAGGGGTCTATATGCTGYATACAGAATATTTTTTATATAAAGAACATCTATTCTTAGCTCCAAAGCATTTATGAATATTTATAAGATTTGGCATTTGAGCCTTCCACCTTACCTATCCAGTGCAGTGGTCAACTCGAAAGCTATGCTCCTTTGACCACTACACATTTTTTCATAAATGACATCATTATTTAAAACTATCTTTAATTAGGTTTTCTTTTTTAATATCTGTCATTAATCTTTTCTTATTCTGTAACTTCTTTTGTTAAAAGTGTAAATAAAACTGAACTTGAACTTGAACTTGGTCTGATGGTTTAGCATGGTATGTCCTCTCATTCACCACAATATGACATCAACAGTAGATCAAAATTTTATATACTAATGAGGTACTTAATGTTATTTGTTGCAGAAAAAGAGCAAAGGCCAGGTGTTGTTGGATCAAGTATTCAAGAATCTAGATCTAGTAGAGAAAGACTATTTTGGTTTGCAGTTCATGGATACGCATCAAGTTTCAGTAAGTTTGTATTCTATGCTGACATCTTATTAGTTGGGGAAATTAGGTTTTTAATCACAGGGCTAAAAATATAGGACAGTCATCAGACAATGTCTGCCCAGAATTGGAAAAACTGGTCAAGTCTTTGCTTTGCCAGACATTTTGACCAGTAACCTTAAGCTGGAAACTAGGTATGACAAAGCTAAAACTAATTTTGCTGGCCTGTCATGGCCTGTGACTGCTCTATTATTCTTAACCTTGTAGTGATGAATGTTATACCATGATTGTATGTATGTTTGTTTGTTTGTATGTATTTTAGTTATTCAGCTTGATTAGGTCATTGGAGAGTATTTTAAAAATAAAGAGCAAAGTAAATATTTGTCAAGAAATCAATTGATACAAATGTTTCAGTTTCTCTGTTATTTTATCACTAATATAGTGCAAGGCAATCAACTGCACACCTTATCTGCCCACTTGTATGTGAAAACCATTCTTTCTTTCATTTATATTTTTATGTTAATCTTGTTTAGCATTGGCTAGATCCAACAAAGAAAATCAAGAAACAAGTTAAAAGTGAGTTGGTTTTTTCAGGTTTTCCAATTTATATTTTAGCATCTTTGCCAGCTTTTTTACTGAATCTACTTTTTCATTGATTCTGGAAAGTATAGGATAATTTTTCCCCATTTTCCATTTTGTTTCCAGTTGGACCTCCTTACACATTACACTTTAGAGTCAAGTTTTATGCAGCAGAGCCTCATGATCTTGGAGAAGAACTAACCAGGTAAGGAGTCATATTTTTAATTCATTACCTCTATATCAACATATTTAAATGTTGATCCAAAGGGCAAAATTGATTCATGCGTGTTCATGAGTATCAGTTCCCCAAACACTCCCCAACCTTTAGCAGTTGATATTAAAGAAACTGACCTTCAATTAGGTGGGGGGTGGTAGTGCAAATGCAGGGAGGGCCATTTTTTAATGCAAACTTACAGGGAGGATCACACAATGTTATACAAGCATTTGAGTAGGGGTTACTATACTATTTTTTGTGTAAAATATTTTGGAGGGCCAACAATTTTTCTGCAGCAGGAAAGGGCAGATCAAAAGTAAAATACACCAGTTCTACCTCCCCCTTCCCTCCCACCCCCTCTGCCTCCATGGAACTTTGCATAAAATTCAAGTATTATAATTTTATTACTGCCGAAGGTATCACTTCTTCCTACAAATAAAACAAGACATTGCAAAATCTAAGTGAGTATGATACCCCTTCATGACAAGGCATGTCTTTTTATATGCTTTTTTTAAAAATTGTTCTTCAATGTCATTTTTAATATTTTTCTTATTGCATGATTATCTTAACTTTCCAATAGACTTGAGGTACCTCAAAAGATGGCTGTAGATTTGGTTGCATTTAGTTTGCAATGTAAGTAGCTTGGATTAGAACATTTTAAAATTGTGCAAGATGGCTTAGTGCATGCATTGGTATTGATTTGCCCTGATTCCTCTTATTGTTAATAATATACTTTGGTTTGGGTTTAGCTCAACTAGGAGATTATGAGGCAGATTTACATGGAGATGACTACATGGATGAATTTAGATTTTATCCTAACCAGGTATAAAATAGATAAAGCAATCATCTTTTTCATTTGTTAATCTTTGAAAAGATTAATCAATGTGTAAATCCTGTTTTTTAGAACAAAGAGCTAGAAAAAGAAATCAAAAAGAGACACAAAACTTTAGTGTAAGTGTTTGCCCAAGAGCATAGAGGAGTTAACTCTGGCTTACAATAGTGTATGTTCATCAAAAATGTTCAAAAACACCCCTAAAAAATACCAGAAGGAGAGAGGAGTAGAGGATAGGATAGAGGAGTTAACTCTGGTTTATAAGTGTATGTTCATCAAAAATGTTCAAAACACCCCTAAAAAGTACCAGAAGGAGAGAGGAGTAGAGGATAGGATAGAGGAGTTAACTCTGGTTTATAAGTGTATGTTCATCAAAAAGGTTCAAAAACACCCCTAAAAAATACCAGGTCTTTTTAAGAGGGTGTTGCTGGCTGACTTTTAACCCCAAGAGATACCACACAAAAGATGCCATGCTCTTCCCTTTCCAATGCCTCCCCCTCTCCCCCAGAGTATAAATTTGCAACTTAACCAAAATCATTAAATATTGGGATCAATAATCGTTTCCGATAAATGCACCTAAAGAAATCTATATAAAACTAATTACATTTACCGGTTACTTTCAGTGGCTTGAATCCTGCAGAATGTGAAGTGAATTTTCTGCGAATTGTGAAAAAACTTGATTTTTATGGAATAAACCTACACAATGTCATAGTAAGTAACAAATAATAATATAGTTGGAGCTAATTGCTGCAGTTCATTCATACTTGAACATAATTCAAATTGGTCAAATTCTGTGTCTAGTACAGTATCATACAATTTACATACAATTGTAGTACAAGTTTCATTATATTAACTTATTGTCCTCATTTAGGGTCCAAATAAGATGGATTGTCAGTTAGGACTTACTCCAAAAGGCATCACTGTTATAAAAGATAATGACAAAGTGGCATTTTTCTTTTGGTAAGCAGATCCACACATGTAGTAAATAAACCCTACTGCATGTTATTTTACTCTTTTATCAGAATGTCATGTGTCCTAACTAAGCTCGAGTTTGCCCTTATCAATTTTCTGCTTGCAATAACAAATCCAGGAAATAGAAGAAATGCAATGAAAAATTACATTTACTAGTACTGGTATCTTGATAATAAAGAGAAGCTAAAATCACAATGTACTTAAAAGTTTATAATGTTTTTTTTAAGGCCAAGAATATCAAAACTGACTTTCAAAAAGAAACATTTCATTCTCGAAGTTCAAGAGGTTAGTAAAGACTGCACATTGCTCTTGCAATTTGAGAGGCCTCTGCTACTCCATTTTGCTACAATCAAGAACCATCTAGATCTCTAATCACAGGGGCGGATCTAGGGGAGGGGTGCAGAGGGAGTGCACTCCCCCTAGATGAGCTGATATCTACTGCATTATTAATGTTTGAGTTTGTAAGCAAAGAATGTACCCCCTCCTAAGCAAAAAACCTGGATGGTGCACCCCACCCCCCAAGGACTACGGACCACCCTAAAAAGGGGGTTGGGGGCTAAGATTAGGAAATAAATAAGAGAATAGTATAGGGAAAAGTGGGGGCTAAGATGGGAAAATATAAGAGACTATAATATGGGTCTATATTATGGGAAAAGGATATAGCCCCCCAGCTGATCCCCCCTCTTTCTCCGTGGTTCCTGCCCCCTAGAAAAAACTGCCCCTGTATGACATGCGGAAGCTGGGGAGACTCAGTATTCTGGCATGAATTAATGAGATCTTATTTGTTTTCACTGTTGAAGGACCAAAAACATGCTGATGTTTACCACTATGCGTTACCAACTGCTCAAGCTGCCAAACACTTATGGAAATGTGCTGTAGAGCATCATACTTTCTTTAGGTAAGGGAAACAGGCTTTAAACAGTGTTACTGACCTTTTTATTAAAAATAGAGTGGATTTAGTGTTTTGTTACAACTTTGGCCCACACTTGTTGATTGAAAATTTAAAGTCTTTGTCAAAAACTCACTTTGCAGAAGTAGAGCCTGCTCCCACTTTTGTTTGGCTGCTGGGAAACATCGCACCCAATAGTTGCAGAAACTGATAAATGGTGCAATCGCATTGTTGCATGAACCATTTATCCTGCTTCTACGTTACGACAGTGCCCGTATATTGTAAGGGTGCACCAACCAACCAACCACACACTCCTTCGTATCATGCACTCCTGACTAATCCCCAAGTATTTTTCCAAATGTCATCCATTCTATTTCAGTGTTGAATTTAGGGGGTTTTAGGTCATGGCTATTTAGAACTTGTTTAATTTCCATTTGTTTTGTCCTCTTCAACAGGCTCATCAAACCAGCCAGTAAACCAAAACGAACGTCAAGTTTCCTTAGGTTTGGCTCTAGATTCAGATATAGGTAAGACAGTCTCCCCCAGTATCCTAGCCGGCTCTCCTTCTTCTCCTTCCTCTTCCCCCTCCCCCCTCCTTCCCAATCCCCCAGAGCCGCCACGCAGGCTACTAGTATCCTTACACAACCGAACCTACTAAAATCAAAAAATCAAACAAAAAAAAGAAGAAGAAGAAGAAATTAAAACGAAAAGTCTCTTCCTCTTCATTATGCGGCCCACCTAATCTCATTAAGGACAAGATCAAAAGAATGGTAAAAAAATGACCTGATATTATCGTTTTTGGTGTTTGGTACCAGTGAGTACCCCCTCCCCCTCAGAGACCTGATGAAATGCTTGATACTGTTCTGGGTGTCCGTGGTCACTATTTTCAATACAAATACGTTGTTTAGCAAATACGTGTTTAGCATTTACATGAAAACATACATTATATCTATTTCTGAAATTTGACTTTTAGTTTTGGAGATACTAAAAGTAATTTTCCTATTAAAAAAAGAAAAAATGTGCGCGCAATTGTAAGACGCGACTTCCTTGAGCTCTTCATTTTCTATTTTATTCCTTATTCCAATTCATTCTAGCGGTAAAACAGAGTACCAAGCTCAAAAGGATTCACGTCTTAGTGCTCGCAAGTCAATGAAATTTAAAAGGTAAACTAACTGATCATTGTTTTTAATATCTGACATACTTGACTGACAAAGAACTTCTATACACACCCTAGAAATGAACCTAGGTCATTAGATCTTGCGATAAGAGTAAGTAAATACCAGTGCAATCGTCTGGCTGGAATATAATCAGTGTACCAAGTTGCTTGACGATAAACCTTGCTTGTTAGTAAAAGCAGATGTAGATGAATCTGTCGCTGGTTCAGTCTTGTCCTCACTAGACTAGACTACTTCAGTGCTAGATTTAAATGTATTACTACTGAGAACTTTTGTTGTTCTTGAGGAATTCAATTCTTTATGTCGTTTATTGCAAAACTTTCTATTTGTCTTGACAAGGATGTAGATTTGATCCCTAATGCATTTGTTTATTGGAATTTTAGGGCTAGCAGTGAAAGGTTTACCAAACGTTCTACAATCGGTAAGTCGTTAAATCGACCAGCAATTATATCTAACTAGTATGGCTCTTGAATCATTTTGTTCCCTGGCAACACCTCAATACACTTCGTTCCATCAGAAAAACTTAAATTTATATTCTATCAGGTTTGTTCTGAGACATAAACCTTCCTCTTACATCTGAAACTGCGCGTTTTATTAGAATGATGTTTTCTGGGCCAAAACTATGGATCTTGTTGAGTAATATAGTCGAACATTCAAGAGGAAGTTCTTTGGTAATCAATACTCGTGATGATATGAAGTTTCGAGTTTGACAATTTTATCTTAGACAAGGATTTGCCAACCTCACCTTATCTGTCTACAGTCATGATTGATCATTCTATAGGACGTTTGCATGATGGCGTCATTTGACTCCCAATACCATAATGCTTCGCGAATTTTCTTTCTTATTCAAATTTGTATTTCCCTATGAGAATAGTAAGACAATTGGTGCTAATTAACTGAATAAAAGAAAGTGTGCAAGGGAGTCTGGTAGTAGAGGTCAGTGACGCCATCATGCAAACGTCCTATTGATGCTTGCTAATCCCTTAATTGATTGAACGTTCGTCAAGTGATGTTGATGAGTATTTAACAGTGAACATGTAAAGATTCGCACGAGGTTTTATTTTATCTTATGAGTGACCTTTGCGGTTATAAGTAGTCGTTTGTCTTGCAGTGTTTACACGAGGTTGTGAAGCGGAGATCGATATGTTGGTGCTTTCAATGTGGCATAGCTTGACCATTTTGCACGAAATGGATACTGGAGGTGTTGGGGTGGGGTGGGGGTGAAGGTGACGTAATGATGCGCAAACATGCAGTTGCTAAAGGCTCAGTATTGCACGATAGCAACATGGAATTTTTAACTTAAGAACATGGAAGCAACATGGAAGTTTTAATTTAAAAATTGTAGATTGCGCGATGATAACATGCAACTAAAGATGAGTAACGTCTTCAGTCCGAAAAGTGGAAAAATGTGTGCGCCATCGACTGAAGACTATTTCGTTTCCAATTCCCTCCGACATATACTATCCCCTCAATCGACGTATGACCCCAGGCTTGTTATCAGCCGTGTGGCTAAGGCAAGCTCTAAAATTCCACCACGCGGGCTAAGAATAAATCATGTTATGATCCTCATAACCTAACACCACTTATGACGATGTTTTTTTAAAGGATATATTCGCGTTGGATCCCGTGTCTGGGGTAAGGCCTTGAATGGCGACTTTTACAAGGGGGTCGTCACAGGACTAGGACAAATGATCCACATCAAGTTTGATAATGGGGACACGATTGCTCATGATCGTACCGACCCTGAATGTGTCGTATTTGATCAAGATCCTGACGCTAGCGAAATACAAATCGGTAGGCAGCATTAAAAACTGTACTTATAGGTCAAGATAGTTGGCAGTTGTTCGTTTAAAACCCATCATGTCCACGTTTTTGGGAGAGGACCAGGCAGGGAGGACTGAGCACCTCACACTGAGTTTAAAAAAGAGTGTAGTTGAGAAATTTATTTTAAGGATGGTGGAGGGGGAGATTGAGACAGCCTCTCTCACTGCTAGGCAGGTGGCCAAGAAATCTGCTGATAAATTTAGTAAACCTTTACGAGGTCTAGGATTTATTCGCTTCAAAATTCACCCTCTGTCCGGGACTTTGGTTTACTGCATAAAGATATCCACTATAAGTTGAAGATGTATGATGATACCCACTCTGTATCTATTATCTATAATACTCTGCAATCTGCATTTTCTGCAGGTACACGCGTTATAGCTCACTGGCCCACTTTACCTGCTTATTTATCTGGTAAAGTCATCGGGATGGAACACCAGAAGTACTACGTAGAATACGATGATGGTGATAAACACCATAATTCCATCAACCAGATGAGAATTCTTAAACCACCCATTTTCTTCGGTAAGAGTTAATCAGTCCAGTTCATAGTACAACTATGTACGTTTTCGGCGTAAATTATTGCTGTCTCATTGAGTGGATAGGCCTCATTACTAAAGGTAGGGTGTACCTACTGCTGCTGTTAGGCCATGGTAATTTCTTTTGGTTTTTACTGTTCCCTGGGGAAGAAAAAAGTGGTTAGCATTTCGGTCGGTATCCCAGGTTACCGGACCGTGGTCAGAGCTAGAAAATTCCACCCGCTCCAACAGCCAACCAAAAGCGCGCGTTTTTTTACAATACCGAACCGGGGAGGAAATGGACTTGTTCAAATCAACTATCTAGTCACTCAGTCTACCTTCATCCCAATGAGCCCTCAGTTTAGTTTAAACCGTGCGTTAGAATCAGTTGCTTTCACAAATATTTTCTATATTGCTGACTACCTATATTTATCGTATTGGTAGGTCCTGGCTCAGACGTCAGGAAAATCAAGCTCAAGAAAAAGTCGGAGTCAATGAAAGTAACGAGCCTTACAGGGAAAGCCGTCATTACTACAGAACTACCGGCTCGCAAGAGTTCCGACAGGAGCAACGGTTCTTTAAAGGCTTCCGAAACAGACGGGGGACCCGCCTTGGATACAGAGGAGTTACCTAGCAACGAACAAAGGGATAGTAAGCTGCCATCGAGATCGCAGTCGTTCCCTGGCAACGTACGCATCCAACGTGGAGAATCTGGGGGCGATACTTCATCAGAAAATGATTTGAAGCAGCCCCGGAATAAATCATTTGCCGGTACAACCAAGGTGCAGAAACCCCCTATGAATATATTCTCCCTACCGGAGACTGATGTTGATTCGGGTATAACAGTTGCGTATGAATCGGGCAAGGAATCAAGGAGAAATGTCAAAACTTTTGTTTTGATGAATGACGACAAGGCAAAGAAGTCAAGTCGGTCGTCTTCGTCGGCGAGTAGTCGGCCAGAGATCGTAGCGTCACGTGATGCGCCTTATGCACCGGACTTCTCTGAAGACAACCAAGAAAAACAGGAAGCAAAGTAAGGCATATTTTAATATTTGGTATTTTATAGACAGTCAGCCATCACTAGCTGTTTACTAGTACTTTTGGTTTAGCGTGGTTGGTGCAGCTTTTGAATGATCGAGAAACGTTTTGTCCGTATTTAAATCATCTAAGCATCTTAAGAATGGATCTAAGATAGATTGGATTGAATATTGAGAATATATGTTTATTACGAGGAGATAAGGGTGGTTATAGACAGGGGTGGTGCTGTTCGGGTTTGACAATACAAATCAGTGATGTAGAGGATTAAAAAACACGGAGAATACACTAAAACACTAAAAATTCGTCTTGACTGACAAATATACCTGCTTTGTAAGAGTTTTCCAGGCCTCTCCTAATAAAAAGAACATAAATTACAGCTCCCTTGCAACTGCAAAACGAGGTTATAATTTCTTATTGCTAAGACAGTGACCCCCTCATGACGCTCAGGAAAACTTCTTTCTCGATATCAGTTTTCTTTGTATAATACTGGTGTCGCTTGAGCAGAGAGGCACAAGAAGCAAGACTCAAGCTGGACTATGGGTCTCTTTGGGGAACATCTTACAACGAGAAGAGACAAAAATTACCAGATATTGTTACTGTGTTCGCAGCTTGATGCTTTGATTGGGAGCCCACGTTATGAGCTTCCACTTGAAATATTTTGTCCTAAATGCATGATAAATCATATTTAATCTTGTTTTTTTTTTTCTTTCTATTTCTCTTTGTTTACTCCACACAGATACATTTACAGTGGAACTCTGCTTTAATGATCAACCCTAAATAAACCAACCATAAAGTAAATGCAACACCACCTAATCAAACGCACATGCATAGAATAAAATAAGAAGAAAGTAATTTAGAATATTTAGCTGACCTCGTGTTAGCAATGTTGAATGGGCTTCCTGTGGTATAAACATGACACAAGATCCCAAAATAAAGCTAAGTTATTATAATTACATGTATTAAAGATAAATAAATTTAAGAAAATAAATAAAAGTTTAAAATAAATATCAATTTGTCAAAATAATTAAATATTAATTTGTCAATATTTTGAATAAAACAGGGGCCTGATTATTGTAGCTGTTCGTAGTATAAAAGGAGTTCTTGCATTAAACTTTATAAATGGAATTTTTCATGAAGGTGTCGCACCGTGGTTGCAAACGGAAGATGTGACGTGCGTTAGAGCAGTTTTTGCATGACTGTGAAAAAGTCGGTGCCGTAGACTACGCGTGCCTTATTGCCACCTTGCGGGTTTTTAGAATTCTGATTGAGGAATTTTTTTCTCGCGCAATGTGATTGGTCTGGCAGTGCCGTGACCTTGGTGTGAACGTGTCCGCGCCTTGTTTATGCCGTGTTCCGGGTATTTGTTTGGATAAAGAGTAAATTCTTCTCAAGCAATGTGATTGGGCTGGCGTATCTCTGGTCGTGTCACGACCGTGTTTGTGCCGTGAGCTTTTCACAGTCATACGAAAACTGCTCGATGAATGCAGCAATTAACCTACGATGATTTTAAACTGACCTGTGTGAAATACTACGGGTGGCACCCGACCCGACAAGGTTACGTCTAAGAATTCCGTATAACCCTAAATTATAATGATAAAAGATAATAACTATAGAATCATAATACGTTATATAAAATATTTGTAAAATCGTATTTGTCAAAGTATTTAATATTATAGAAATAAAGAATGGTAGAGAAAGAATTTCTATATTTGTATAATGCATCAAGAGTTCCGCGCTACTGCTCTAAGCGCATTCTCAAGGGGTCAAAAAGTAGGTTCACGTGGTGTAATAATTTCTATATTTTAATTGTATTTTTCTTATCAAGCACCGTTTTCATTAAATATTCAAGAGCAAGTAGCGTTAAGCTAATTCCAAATCATATATACCAAAATATAGCAATTTTTACAACCCGCCATGATCCCAGTTTTTGACCCCCTTGGGCATGCGCTTAGAGCAGTAGCGCAAAACTCTTGATGTGCATATGTAAAGCTGTACACAACATTAACCATAATATCACAATCTGGCCCCAGAGAACCCTATCATTCTTACTGCGCATGCTCAAAAAAATTAGACTTTTCGTCGTGCATGCGCAGTAAGAATGACAAGGGTCTGGGGTCTAGAATAATAACAGATAACAGTATCAAAGTCTACTTACCATATTTGGAGTAAGAATCACCGCTGACCACAAATGACTATAGCATAAGCTCACGGTACAACTTGAAACCACAATAAGCACTGTTCTAGTGTAGTGCACATAAGTTGAGCTTGTTGAGGATGTGTTACAAGTGGGCATGCGCTTGGTTTTGGTATCCGGTTGTGAAGCTTGTTGCGATGGTGCGGTGCTGTAGATAATGCAGTGGTTCTGTTAAGATATTGCAAGACAGAGGTGTTGGGCAATCACTAAGTTAACAATGCATGATATAATTAAGCTCCACTGTGCGTACGCATAGGTTTTATAATCTGGACGCCCAGAGGACCTTCCACGTGTTTGAAGCACCAGCCAATCCCGAAGCAGCTGATGATGACGTCACTAAGCGCTTGTCGTACGTTGGTGGTATCAGCTCGTCCCAGGACGCCTTGACGGACGCCGCAACGAAATCAGAAAAGGAGAAAAAGTGAGTTGCGCTAAGGTTGAATCCGTGTCTTTAGGTCGTCGCTTTCAACTTTTTTCTATTTATTTTTTATTTTTTTACCCTAATGCTTATTTTGTTTTCACTGGTTTTGGTTATTGATGTTTTGTCCTTGATCTTTTTCTTTACAGGAGACGAAGTTCTCTGCCGGATATCAGAATTCTTGAACATATTTTACCGCAAGATGGAAGGTAAATATAAAACAAATACACTTACAAATACACCGCAACAAAATCCAACGTTTAAACTTATCTATTCTCTTAGGGAAGACAAAGTAGCCGCGAGCTCCGAGAAAAAAACTTCTTCTATGAACAACTTAGCCAAAACGTGAGTAGACCAGAGCCATTCTGTAATTCTTTTTTTCACTATTTTACTGGATGGTGACGACATTCTTGATCAAAGAAGAAACAATGGCCGACGGAATTAATTATTAGCGGTGGCACTTTCATAGAGTGGCTTTCTATCCACTCAGAAAACCTGAAGTAAAACACTTGAAGCACAGAGAAGAACCAAAAGGCAATAGACCCATTCAGGCAGTGTGTCATTCTCTAGAGTATTATTCATTTGTTTAGCGGTTGCGCATGAGAAGACAAATGAATATGGATACAACTCAAACAAAGAATCTTATTCTCAAGAGAATGGCACGTGGTCTAAAATGGGAAAACATCGATCCATGGTCGTATTTTTTGAAGGTTATCGCTCACACCGCTACAGTAAGCCAAGCGTCGTTCAAACCAGGGACACGTTTCCTCATCCGAATAGCTGTAACAGAAATAACTTTCTTTTCTTTTTTTGTTTTAGTTCTGTGAACAATAACATGAATACCACTCCACTTCACATCGATAATCTTCACAACATCTCAACATCTGTCAGTCAGAATGCTCCTGCGGTACCCAATCCAGCCGCTGTGCAAACAAGTGATCATAATATTCTAGTGACGGACTTATAACGGTGCCAAAGTCATCGTGGTCGCTCGAATTGTTTCTCCTAATACATACACAATATATTACATATTTTTATTTGTCGCTACAGTGCATTCACATATACTATAATCCGCATATATTTTTTAATGTAATTGTTCAATAATGTTGCGCATGCCTCAAGGTTGGATATTGGATTTAGAAATACGTTAATCCTTGTCTGGTTCTAAACATAGAACATAGAAGCCGAGACCCAAATGTATGCTGGGAAAGGACATGATAATCCTCTAATCAATCAATCAATCAATCAATCAATCAAACAAACAAACAATCAATCAATCAATCGTTTATAAACACGTGTCGTCCATGAGCTGGTTAAGCTCGTTCAAAATACGAACGTGTCTGATGCATTAGCCATTTCAAGGTAGAGTTGGGATTGCAGTGCATTGTGGGGCTGTTTTAAGGGACATATTTCCAAAATGGCGTCTATTTTGTCCCATAAAACAGCCCTAAAAGTTTCTACGATGCCAACGTGACCCAGTTATTCCTTAACCTCGGAATGCCGGATTCGATACACACAGTGATAATGAAACATGAGTTACGTAAAAGCCTCCCCATGCTTTCTGCCACTGAGTGCAACGATTTATGTTCCAAGAGTTGTATCACTAACGTATTTCCCATGTACCCTTTCGGCCTCGGCTTATATGTTCTAAGAACTGTTAGTTTTAAATTTGCTCAACTAAGTCTATTCGTTGCTGACTTACATTTCAAAATTAGTCGTTTAATTTTGTAAAAATCTGGCCCTTGTGGATAAGAGGACGCAAAACATCGTAAGATGGGGTCTTGCGATCTCTAGCTTCGATGAAAAAGACTGGTAATGATCCAGTCACTTACAGGAATAGACTTAAAATCTCTTTGCAATATTTTGAGGATTCGCTTGATTTGTTTGTATTACAGTTAAACGTAAATGCAATAAAAACCGCAAACCAAAGCAACTACGGAAAAATCAATCAAGCAGCAATGATGATAAGAGCAATAATAATAATACGATCGGATGATGTAGAATTGATATACAAATAACAAGGTCATGTTGCGTTTTCCTTTTATCCGGGAATCAAGTTCAATCAGATATCTTAATCTCTATCATAATATTTTTTAAAGATAACAGCACAAACCTCAATAATTACACATGTAATCATTCTCAAATATAAATAATGTGGCATTTTCGTTAAATTATTAAATTAGATATTACAGTAATAATGTTCTTGTTAGGTCATTTGTACGGACATCTATTAAGCACCCTATAGGTGGTGCGGCCAATAACTAATTCCGGCTACGTTCACGTAGCTTGGAGGAAATTCTACTTTTTTGTCGGAAAGCTCAGATTGACTTGGTGCATAAGGTCGCAGGGGCGGATCCATGAGTGGTAACTGAATAGTCACCCCCCCCCCTTTTGGCTCAAATTTCTCAGTACAACGTTAGTAACAGTCACCCTCCCCCCCCCCCCCCCCCCCCTTTCCTCGAATTCCTGGGAAACCTTTGTAATGAGCACCCCCTTCTAAAATTCCTTTATCCGCTATGGGTCGGCTATACACACGTGAATTATAGTTGGTTTCCCGCACCGTTTTCCGGGGGAAATAATTTTACGATGACTAACTGCGGGATGCGGGGGTGAGTTTTCCGGTGTAATTACCTGCCTTCCCCACTATGAAAACCGTTCCACCGCGGTCTATACTTCCCCATCTCTTTTACAAATCCATGCGCAAAAAGTGCCAGCATTATAGTACAGGTTTAAAAGGGAAAAACAATCAGAAAGAAAGGGCTGAAAAATATTTAAAAATTTATATTTGACTTGTTGTCAGCTTGTCATGGGTTCTCGGCTTTATTCAGAGCTACGGAACTTTGCAGTGCATGCCTGCGGACCGTCGGTGACGTCAGTAAGTCATTCTAAAGGAAAGCCAGTCTATCAGCTGGAAGACACTGTAGCCAGACGTGGAAAGGAGACTTTCACCCAAATACATGACGAAATACTAGTACAAACACACTCAGTTGTATTGTCTGTCGCTCTTCCATATTTACGTAATCTATTGTGAGGATCCCTACGTGTTGGCTACTTAAACAGAATGTCATCAAACAAAAACGAACAGAATAGTATTCCAGATTTTTCTATTTTTTCATAACATACTTTGTTTCGACGATAAGGCTTCCACGTCACGAAACAACCAAGCGTCAAAACGAGGCTTCCATCGAGCATGCGCACTAGTCCTTGAATTTCTCAACAAAATCCTTGATCGTGTGGGAAGATGGTTTTCAGCCCTGAATAATCATCGAAAAAAAAATCTTTGCGATCGACTATGGACATTCTGGCATCCAAGAATAGTTTATAGATTTATAGGAGCTTCTGTAGAACCTACTATTTTAGTCTTGGGATCAGAAATGGGCTTACTTTTCTCGAAACTCTTTAGTTGGTTCAGTAATGAAGGTATGTTGTGTCCATACGTATGACTGTTTTCTTGGGATTCCCGAATTTGGTCATTTTAACTTATAAATTTAATGCTTTTTAAACCCTTTAACCCTCTATGTGGTAGTTCAATGATAAATATAAGCTACTGAGGGTAAATGATTCAAGAAGTAGCACTATTTATACGTTTCTAAAATAAAACTTACATGACCAAAAATCTCTACGTTGATCAAATTTTCCGATCGAGTTTTCGTTCTTACTTTGATGTTTGCTGATCGTACCTGTGTATATATAACAATTTAAACAAACGATTATTTTTATATACTGTACTAAAACTAAGCTATTTAATCTCAAATCAACGGACCGTTAGTGTTTTTACGATCAAAATTAGGGGTAAGACGAAGCAGTGTATAAATTTATCAGATTCAAGCTGGGTTTTTTTATGCCGCGAATTAAAATGAAATTGCGACAACAAAAATCACAACATGATGGATAAATATAATAGAAGTAAATAGCTTTATTGAAATTTAAGAATGGTGTCACTTCTTTCCTAACGTGATTTGTGGTATCTTTGTATTTTTGAATACATTAATTATATATTTTTTAGGACCTTTTCAGGAATATTGAATCAATATCCAATAAGATTACTAAAAACCCTAATCACTGCTTTTATTGCCACTGAATGTTCAAGACGAAAGTTAAAAATGGGCAATTAGGCTACCATAATTCAATCATAAAATGGTCAAAGTATGTAAATATATAGGAAATGTACTCTAACAATTTATTTAATTGACAATAATCTATTTCCAATTAACCTCTCAAATTGTCTTGAACAGCAATGAAAATGAAAACAGTGATAAATATTCCCAGGTTACATTTATGTAAAGTATGGTAAAATCGTTTAAGTATGTAAATATGGGAAATGTACTCTAATGAGTTACTTAATTGACAGTAATCTATTGCCAATTATTAACCTTTCAAATTGTTTTGAACAGCAATGAAAATGAAAACAGGGATAAATATTCCCTTACATTAAATTTTATGTACAGTATGATATCCTTCTCTCTCTAGTAATATTAAAAATGAAGTGAAATTATATTCCTTCCATATGCTGTTCTACTAATGTGCCGAACCAAATTGATGAATTAAGTATGGCAAAAGAGCAGCAAGTGATTGAGGTGCTGCTCCAGTGTCAGTGTTTGACGTACCAAATTGAAACTGCCGGACCAAACTGATTCATTCAGCTGCCCTTTTGCTGTACTAGTCCTTTAATTATGTTCAGCACAAGGGGCCTATAGTTCAACATATTAAGTTTGCCATTCATCAGTCCCTCCAAACAAGTCAAACATTGTAAAAGGCTCGGCACATGAGTAGAGGGGCATATGGAGCAGGCCTAAAGGACAAAATCAAATGAAACATCTATACAAATGATAATTATTATTGCTTCATTCCAGAACACAAAGTTATCATTGTTGGATTGGATAATGCTGGGAAAACCACTATACTATATCAGTTGTAAGTATTGCAAGTCTTTCTTTAGATATTCTTCGATTGCACATTACGCCATAGCAGCCATGTTGGTGCTATTTAACAAAAGATTTCTCTTTAGCATCCATTGTTAACATCACAAAGATGGTGGCAAGGTTTGTCTTTTAATTTCCTTGGCAATGCTTGCAACCCATCAATTGGACTTTCGTTGTCACTAACTATTACTTTTGGATGTGTATTAAAAATGAAATTACAACATAAAGATTGTATAAACATGATTGTAAAACCCATGATGCCATGACTTTGTTACATATAACCATGCTTTGCCACCATCATGACTGTTAGTCGGTTAACAATTTCTCAGAGAAGGGTAGATCATCAGCTTTCCCATTTCTCCCAGAAGTTCCCCTCCCCTCCCCTGAGAGGCCAAATAGGTAAGACAGTGCCAGGGTAACCGTTACCTCATGCTAGGATTGATTCAGTTGCTATTGTCTATTCTGTACTTGTAATTTAGACTCTTAGATCAGATTTTTATTTATCTGATTTACACCTAAAAACTCTTGAAAAAACATGGTATTTTAATGATATGTCATTGTTGCTAAAAAAGTGTCTCTTGTCTTGTTCCAGTCTAATGAATGAAGTAGTCCACACATCACCAACAATAGGCAGCAACGTTGAAGAGGTATTCATTAAAAATTCATCAACTTTATACTCCCTAGATACTATATCAGCTATTCTCAAAACCTCATAGCCTTTAATACATCAATTTTGATTTTTAATTTTAGACTTCTGGACTTGGTTATTGTTTCACTTCTATAATTATGAATATTATTCCAATATATATTCAAAATTCAGTGCTTCAGGAATGATTATTTCCAATTAAGTCTGATTTTTCTCATGCATTTCATAAAAATAAAAAATATTAATGAAACTTATTAATACTAACATTTTATATATTATATTTGCTTTAGATTGTTTGGAAGAATATACACTTTATAATGTGGGACATAGGAGGCCAGGAGTCATTAAGAGCGGCATGGAATACATATTATGCAAATACTAGAGTAAGGAATTATTAAATTTGAATGAACAGAAAGAATTATACATGAGGTTTTTTTCGGTTTGAAGCACGATGTGTTGAAAACATTTTTGAAAAAACCTGGTATAATCTATATGGAACACAAAAGCCTCAAGACGAACAGAAAGAATGTTAATTTTTCACCCTATTCCTACAACTTTTGCTGCCAGTTTGTCACAACATTGTATTTCAAACTAAAAATAGTCGTAAAACATTTACAAATTTTGAAGTGGTAAAAAGTATATCCTAAAATTATACAATAAAATTCCAGCTTCCAGTTATACCCTACCCCTGTTACAAGCATTACAAGCCCCCCTGGTCATAAGCCTACTAATCTAGTAACACAAATCCGGATCTAAGCTTCCCAGTTTGTTTTATGATGTAAGTCCATCAAAAAATTAGTCATAACCAGGGTTTATAGCAACTTGTTACACCGTCTATATCTTACACATTTTCTTATTGCTTGTTTCTGTTTTTTTTCTTCTAGTTTTTAATTTTAGTCATCGATAGTACAGACAGAGAAAGACTAGCCATCTCCAAGGCTGAACTGTATCAAATGCTAGCAAATGAAGTAAGTCAAATGTGTTATTATTACAGTATGGTTATCTTTCCTGTGACATGGTTACTTTCCAGACTGATATAAATATGTGAATAAATATAAATATGTGATAAGTAAAGTTGTTGTCTAAGTATTTTCTTGTTGTGTCTGCTTTACAGGAACTGAAGCAAACTGCCATCCTCGTTTTTGCAAATAAACAAGATATATCAGTATGTAAAAGCATTTAGTATGATTGCAATATTTTTAAAGAATATTTTGCCTATGTTTTCTGTTTCATAATAGCAATAATAAGTACAATTTTAAGGATTTGAATACCTTTTATAGGTTGCTATCAATAGATGTCACTTCCGGTAATAGCTCTTTTTTAATGGCTTGTAGAATCCTGGAGGTTGTTTTGATTTCTTGTTTTCTGGTTTGATGTCTTGAAAATAGTCAAATACAATAGTTTGAGGACTTATTTTGATATGTTTTGACTTGGCATCCACTAGTTGCCCCCCAGTCAACTCCAAAAAGTCACGTGATTGATAGTAAGCAATAGGATTTGATTTCATTATAACTATGGTTTATTATATAAATTTCTTTCTTAGGGCTCCATGTCAGTAGCAGATATTTCTGAACAGCTCAACTTATCCTGTATCAAGGATCATGGATGGCATATCCAGGTAAAAGAAATTGCAAAAATATGATCCAACTTAATCCAAAAAATAAAAGGCAATACTAAAAAATATTATTTTGATAAATAAAGATTATCACTTGTTAAGAGCTTGATACTGTATCATTTTTGTCATTTTTGTTCACAAGTTTCCATATCATATCATGAATGAGTGAGTCCACGAGTGAGATAATATGAAAGACCAGCAGATAAAAAAAGATATCAGGCTCTTAACATGTAATATTTTGTTTATCAGTTTATAGTTTACAGTAAAGTGATATATTGTATATCATTATATAATTACCTATGAAATATCTATTTTTCTCTATTTCGAAAAATTGATATCTTCACACGTAAAAATAACACCATTGCGATGGCTATTCAAAAATACACGGAAAGAATTGCCTGAAAAAACCAAAACATACTTTCATTGATAATTATATAATAAACAGAATATTACATTGGCACTTGGAGATACGAAATTTATCTTCTCGTGTTGAAAATCTCTCACTCGTTGGCTGCGCTCACTTGTGAGAGATCTTTTCAACACTCGAAGATAAATTTCGTATCTCCGCGTCCCCATGTAATATCCTCTATTTATTATAAATTCTAAAATGATCTTTGTTCTTATTTCAGCCTTGCTGTGCCCTGACAGGGGAAGGGTGAGTATCATACTGTCATTCATTTTTAATGATTTTTTTGCATTATTTTCATAATCAAATCTACATGCCCCCGTGGGGAATGACAAAGGTATTGGTATATTGTGATTAATTTTTTATCTGTTCTCTGCCAGGTTGTATCAAGGACTGGAGTGGATTACCACACAAGCAAGAAAGTGATTGCTTGTTTTATAGAAAATATATTATTTTATAACTTCCATATCTTCAATGACGTTCCAATTAAGCCTCCTAACAGGTTCCTAAAATCCTATGAAAATCTTCATCCATTACTACTAGAGATTAGCCACAAATCCATGGAATGCAGTGTATTTATTCCAAGTAATACTTGACTGGTGATCTCCTGTAATGAGCTCACATAAAGACAATCCAAGGGGAACATAAATGGTTTCTTTTTTCTTGTCAAACTGCAAGTATTTTAGTCCAGAAAGCATGGTGACAAGTGGTGGCAAACATTAAGGAAGGTGTCTACAAGACTGTTGCAAGTAACATCACTGGCAACAGAGTTTTCAAAGCATGTCAAATGTGCCTGAACAGTACCAACAACAAACTTAGACCAAAAGAACAGCCCCTATTTCTGGCCAGTGGAACATAGGAAACTCATTTCTCTGGCTGATTTCATGAAGCCATTACCAGTAATGATGAAGGCATGTTCATTGGGAAAATATTATTATACACAATTTTATAGAAATGAAACTCAATTCTACTTCTCCAGTGGGTAGCCCCCAGTGTTTTATAGAATTGGACACAGTACAAGTTTCATTGTTTCACTCAATAATTACCTCAGTTGTATCTTGGCCTCTAGATTGTCACTTCCACATAGAGTACTCCAAAAAAAACAGTGTTTTATTTTACACAACGCAACAAATAATCCTTATGATCTAGAAAGCAATCATCAATTCAAAGTTAAAAGAAAATAAGGAACTAGTTAATTGGGAACTTGAACTTTAAATATAGATAGTATAATTTAACTGTTGTGAATGTATATAAATTTAAATTTCATTAGCAATAATAATTTCCTTGTAAGTGTATAGGTATAAACTCTGTGATATTTATAGCAATTTTTTTTCTTTATTATTAACTTAATAAAACTTGGCTCTAACACTTTGGAAGCTATATCTTCTGTTACGGGGGTGGATCTAGGTTTTCAAGTTAAAGCGTACAGTATGTCAAGGGAAAAAAGTAATTTTCAAAATCACTTATATGTGAACAGCGTAGTAGTTAGTTGCAGTATTTTTGTATGTGGTTTCCTCTTCTCAAACATTTGAAATATAAATATGCAAATGAGATGATGTAAATTTAAGACTGAATTAACCTAAAAGTTTAGAAAACCACATGTTTCAGTTATAAGGATGATTTGCAAATGAAAAAGAGCAGTACTTTTCACAATAGCATTTTTGTATAATAAATATATTAGTCTTGAATTTATGTCATATCATTTGGATATTGATATTTCAAATGTTTATCATCCTCCAAAAAGAAAATTCCACATTTAAAAATACTGCAGCCATACTACTACAGTGTACACAGTTCACAAATAAGTGATTTTGCAAATCAAATTTTTTCCTTGAAATACAATTATAACGTCTGTTTATTACATCAGTAATATATTTTAGAGCCACAAGTCTATGATAACAGCAATTAAACTAACTTTAGGTTTTTTTGTGAGATAATACATATCAATAGATCTCATTACTCTTGGTGTAATTTTTTTCACATTTCAATTGATTTGAAATCAGAAAACAATGAATTAGGCCTATTCTGATAGAGTGTATACCATATACCTGTGAAAAACTTGGAAAGAAATTGCACAAATTAGTAAGTTCAGACCGTAGACCTACAAAAATTTGCACTAATTTGTACAATTTTGTTAACTTTTTCACTGCATGATATATAGTATGCACTATACTGTATACTATATCAAGTTCATGAAGAATTATACCACAGCAACCTGCAGTACCATGGTAGGCATACTGCTGTTGTCTGAGAACCAGGCTTAAGATTTTAATAAACATTGTCATGACAGCCATGTTGGTTGATGAAAAATCTTATCTACACCAAGATGGCTGCTATATCAACATGAAAAGTGAGAATAAAAATGCTTTATTATCTTTATCACCTTTGAAACACAATCTCATGATCACAATAATAATGTTCCATGTTTCATTCAATGAATTCCACTGTCTTTGATAAAATCTGAATGGCTATAAGGCTGGGGTCAAGGACTGAAATGCATCAGAATGCTATTCATTGGATGAAACAAAGGACAACTGAAAAACTGTTTCCATATACATATATATATATTATATATGATAGCAATTCTTTAAAACAAAACTTTAGTTATCTTTTGTTTCATTGATTTTAAACATTGAATGAAAAATATTTTTTAGATTTTTTTTTCAATCCTCAAGATTTATTTATTAATTCCTTAACATGTGATTAGCTTTCATAATTATTTCAATTTATGGCTCCTATTAATTCTCATATTTAGGTTATTCATTTAAGAATTCATTTTGTGTGTATTTGTACCTTCCTATAATAAAGTGTTTAATTTTCCGTAGTGCTTGTCATGGTATTTCTTCATTTGACATTCAAAGGTATTTCAGGTCTTTCTTGGTGTTGCAAGATGTGTTGTATTCTGGGTTTTGGGTTTTTGTATTAAAGGGTATTACTTACCTCCAAACTCATGGTTCCCAGCTATTGTTTTATTGTCTTCATAATGCAGGCACCCTGCAACACCAAGATAGAGTTGGTATTTCTTGTGCATAGTATATCTTTAGTGTGGAGAGAACTACCGATACATAGATTTCATTTTTTTGTAATTTTGAACAGGATGTGCAACAATTCAAATATATCTATATTTCCAAAAACATTGTACAGGAGATTTTAAAGTGTTTTGAAAACACAAAATTATCTTATTAGGAAAGGATATTTAACTGATGTTTTGGTCAAAGTAAAGAAAGGATCATGGAAAAGGAAAGTGAATTTTTGTATACAATTTGCAGGATGGGAATGGGATTCATATTCGTTAGATGGGATATATGAAGTAGAACCAAGTGAAATGAATTCAAAGTTCGTAGCCTGAAAATTTTGCTGCAGCCTAGAACTGTTGTTGTTCATTACTTTTCAAAAAAACAATCGCCAACACCTACCTGTGTAATAGTGAAAGCTTTTATAATTTTTTTTTTTTTTCATTTCTTTCAAATGAAAAGGTTAGGAAAGTTAAGGTGTCAAGTAATTATCAGATAAGTATTTTGGTAAAGGCGAATAAGGTCAGTCAACTTTTTTAAACAAATTTTTCTCCGCAATACAAATAAATAACAACAAAAAAAAAAAAAAAAAAAAAAAAAAAAAAAAAAAAAAAAAAAAAAAAAGGAAAACTGATACTGAAAAGAGCAAAATCATTTTATTAGAAAAGGAAAGAGCAGATGTAGGTGGGCTACCTGTCTTTTTTAACCTCCAAAAGCATCCTGGGAACACCTGTCGGCGCCATTTTGATTTCATTGTAAAGATGGCGTCTGTTCGTGGATACGTGAAGCTACTCAGACCTTGGTTTTTAATGCTTTTGATGCTCCTTGTCTTACTCATTACCTATGTAACAGCTACTGAAGATAACGTAGAAGCTGGTAGTGATTCGTCTAATGATTTTGCTGAATTCGAGCAGGAAGTAGACGATGATGACGAAGAGGCGCCGGCAGAAGTAGAAACGCCACCAACACCTACTACTCCTCCAAATCGAGAACAAGGTATAATTAACTAGATCTTTTCATATTAAAGCTAACCTTTCTGAAGTTGTTGAATGGGGTTTTGATTTCTGATTTTATTAGGGGACTCATCTTTTCTACGTTTTCGTGTTGACTCTGTTGACTATTAATAAGCATGATTTTATATTGCCTCCGTAATATTTCACGTGATACGTTTTCGTGTTGACTCTGTTGACTATTAATAAGCATGATTTTATATTGCCTCCGTAATATTTCACGTGATTAGAACTAACTGTTCATTGTTTCCTTAAGCATAGATTTAATAAAGTTTAAAACACCTGATTTCAATACCCAAATATTAGCAACGTCGGTGTCTCATGATTTTTACCAAAATGAATGGAGTGTTGGAGCATATTTTTGTATTGTTGTTAATAGTTCAAGAAGAAGACAAAGATGATGATGATGCTACTGTAGAGGTTAGTAGAGCCAAATTGATTGGGGAAAAAGGTATTAAGATTTAGCTGTTGTATCACAGCATGAGACAATCACAAGAGTGATTGGAAATATATATATTAAGATTGAGCTGTTGTATCACAGCATGGGACAACCACAACAGCTAGACTCCAACTAGGTGAAAGCCCAAAGATCAAATTGGAGTTTAAAAGTTGATTTTTGAGGAAGGAGGAAAACCAGCGAACCCAGAGAAAAATCCTTGAAGCACAGGAGAGAACCAACAAACAGCTGTACTCACATAGGACACTGAGACTGGCAGACTCAAAACTGTGTCACAGACGAAAGGTGGCACATTCAAACAAATTCTCTTCAAACAACTTCTAGCTTCATGAGTTAAGAAGAGAGAACTCTATGCACTGTATAGTTGTATATATTTTTTCAATTCTGGTTAAGTGATTTGCATATGCAATCATCCATAGCCTGATGAGCCAGAGGGTGAAGAAGAATTTGATCACTTTACAGATGAAGAAGAGTTTGAGGTAAAAAAAATGACTTGTCATCATTGCTGTCGTAATGAGGATTTCATTGAACATTCCAGTTTTATGTTTTCCAAAAAAAATAGTTTGAATAAAAATTAACTCCTTGCAGCACTTACTAAGTGTTTTATTATTACTGAAGGAAGCACAAATAAAGCCATTTTATTCCTTTTATTATATAGTTACTACTTATGTATTTCAGTATTGCATTTATTTGTACGAAATGAAAGCCTGTTTGCAGGATCTAGCAGCACTTCACACACACAAATGGCATCAGCACTGACGTGCTCCATTCACTAATAAAGCACAGTTTTCGGCCAATCAGCAGGCACATACTATCCTAACTATATAATAATTAAAGATACTCTATAAACATTTAAATAAAAAGTATTGATTACTTGATGGGAAAAAGATATGCAAGGTTACTGACATTCTAGAGTTTGAGCCCTCTGTAATAAAATATCGCACTATTCTATTCTATTCTATGACTGGACTCTGTATCTTGATCGTACATACAGTAATAAACTAATATTGAGGTTATACAATCCTTAGGGCTATAACAAAGATAAAGGAGCTAAGGGCAAACCAGGTCCTCAACCAGACCTTAAGATTGAAAAGGTACAAACACATATCTAACAATCATACTTATGACTTCTTGGTGTGGTATAGACCATTTTTGAATTAGTCAAAAACCACTGTGTTCTGCGATTACAGACTCATTTTAGTGTCCAAATATTCACATACCAACGGTGAAGTAAAGAATGCACAACTTCAACAATACAAATGGGTATGAAATTCCACGGATCTTCACTGGATTGCATTAATATTCAATATTCATTAATTAATTCAATACGATCAATCAAGGCTAACCCTGTAGAGCAGAGAATTTGAAACTGAAGTATTCCTATAAACCATGTATTTGTTTTCTATTAAGTTTGCTGTTATGAATATTTCAATGACCTATTTCATGTTATTGTTGTGATGGTTGTTCTAACCCTGTAGGACAGAGAATTCAAAACTGAAGTATTCCTATAAACCATGTATTTGTTTTCTATTAAGTTTGCTGTTATGAATATTTCAATGACCTATTTCATGTTATTGTTGTGATGGTTCTATTTTTATAAATACTTATGCTATGTTATTTGTTCTAGGTCCCCCTTCATTTACGAGCTAATTGGGAAGGTTTTTATGCCGAGATTCTAACCTTAGCAGGACTTGTAGCATATGCTCTAAACTTCTTTGCTGGAAGAAATAAAAACTCCAAACTAGCAACAGCTTGGTGAGTTCATCTCAACTACAGGGGCTCTTTTTGTTCTTGTATCATTGCAGGCCTGCCGCTAGGACCTACGAAGAGAGATTTGTTTATCTACCATTTCTTGAAAAACTAAAACTTTGGGGGCTTCATTCAAACCATCAAACCACCCTTAGCGACAGGCCTGCATTAGAACACCACACATAAGTTCTATATGATTTAACACAATCTTTTGGGTTTTAGGTTTAAATCTAACAAAGAGCTGTTGGAGAATAACTTCCACATTGTAGGTAAGTTAATAAATAGGCAGAGAGATACTTGTTTTATGAGCCATCTCTTAAATAGTACTAGAGGCTATCATAAACTACTGTGTTCTCCTGTGATCAGGATCAAAATTTATTCAAACCTAAGTTGACAAAGCTTCAACTTGGGGCTATTGGCAGTTAGCAATTATGACATGCTCAAATAAACACCATAAGGTCTTGCTCAAATAACACAAGTTAACTTTTAGTGAATTTCTGAATTTATAAGCACAATCTGCTGTACTGTACACGTAAACACATACTTTGTGTGTGTTTTGATATCCAGAAATTGACTAGTTCTTAACTCATTGTAGGTGACGATGGTTCTGCTGATGAACCACAGCAAGGTATTTTGGTGAAGGAGAGCGAGAGCCTCTATACCCTGTGGTGTACTGGAAGGGTTGGATGTAATGGGTTACTGGTAGAGCTCAAGGTATGTTATGCTACTTATTAAGATATACCCTGTGGTGTACTGGAAGGGTTGGATGTAATGGGTTACTGGTAGAGCTCAAGGTATGTTATGCTACTTATTAAGATACACCTGTGGTGTACTGGTAGGGTTGGATGTAATGGGTTACTGGTAGAGCTCAAGGTATGTTATGCTACTTATTAAGACCTTATCCACATAACAACCCAAATGGGGGTTTACAGTGAAGACCAAAATTAACCAATCATTTTAGAGAGCGACAACAATGCTGTAACCAATCAGACAAGAGCAAATCAGTATCACATTGAAGTCACATTGAACCAATCCCATGGTTAAGGTTATAACATTTAGGTTGTTTGCCAAATATGAATTTATATATTGTTTGCCTGTCTACCCCTGTGGCTTAGACAGCTCAAGTGGTTAGAACATTGCACCAGTATTGCAAAGTTAATGGGTTCAAATCCCATCAGCAGTGTTAGGCCATACTCACTTACTTATTATTCTATTTCTGTTGATGATATGAAATTATCTACCAAATATATCAGAACTATGCTTTGTACTTGTTTGGCTTAAGTTTGGCTTAATGCTTTGGTATTTATTCTTTATTATAGTTAACTTTGAAAAAGTTAATGGTTGTAAGCCATTCTTGCAGTTTTTTAAATGGATTATTTTTCATGTGCATTTTCAGTTACAAAAAAGGCATGATCTTGTAAATGTGATGTCCCATCTTGTCAAGCCAGTAAGGGATACTATTGTAAGTATCAAAAAATTAAATTAAATAAACCTAAGAAAGAAAGACTGGTAGGAAGGAGAAAAAAAATAACAATGGAAATATGTATCCCTAATTTTTTACAACTTACTATTATGCTTAGACATAAGATAAAAAAGCTATTTTTTGAAAAAATCGAGAGCTTGCTGTCAAGTCAATTTTCCTTCACAAATCCATATAAAATATTTGAATTTATGTTTAAATGTTATGAGCTAAAACTTAGATTTCTTACTACATGTAATATTGAGGTTTTCTTTTCATTTCTGAGGTTCATATTGATATATACCTGGTTGTTGTAAGAGGGGTAGGGTTATGCAACCTGTATTGCTGCTCCAGGTCAAACCCTTGTGTCAATGATTTGTATTCTTATAAATATACCATCTTTTATAGACAATAACTGTACATATGACGGATGAAGAGATGGACAACTTTGTACTTGCTGTTGTACCCAAGAAAATGGCAACAAAAATGCAGAAAGAATTGTTAGATTTGGTAAGTTATTTCTGCCAAAATTTTCATACTTGTTTTTTGGTTTCTATTTTTTTAATGAGTTCAGCAAAAAGGCAAGATTTTGTCTATCTAATTATATCCTATCTTAATGCCCCAAAAGCCTCTGGCTTGGGCCTCATGAATTATTGTATATGCTATTTTTTCTTTATTGTTGAATAAATAAATTGAATAAAATTTGTCAGCACTCCAATATTTACTTATTATGTGGCCTGCGATGTTACCATACTACAGTAGTATAACTAATGTACATACATGCTTTAGAGTGACATAAAGTTCTCTTTGGATAATTGAGATTGATCAACTGATTGATTACAAAGGTCTTTTAAAATTGCACATGGATGGCTTGAGAGTATCCCAGATTATTCCATATGTTTATCGAACTATTATTCACAGTTATTATCCCGTCTTATTTTCAGAATTTCTTCTGTCCAGACAAAAGGAGTGGAAATAAGTATGATCTTCCATCATCTCTTGTGATATTAACAGAGTCTACTGAAGCAGCAAATATTCTGTTATCACAGCAGGTTGGTCTCAATAATGGAATTTTGGTCCTCACTAGTGACATAAGCATATCATAAGCATAAAGATCAAGACATTCCATTCTTCTTCTGCTTGTGCTTATGTCACTGAATTTCCCAGTGAGGATGTACACTTATATGTTTATGCTCGTGCCTTATGCACTAGTGAGGACCAAGCTTAACAGAACAGTTTGATCAGTTTAGCCCTGCTGGTATTACTTCTAGGGTTAAGGAATATTTAAATCATTTGCATAAGACAACATAACCAGAATTGTAATTGTGTTTGCCTTGGTTCTCTACTGCCATAAAAAAGAGATAGATAGATGTTAGATAGTTATAACATATTATAACCAGAATGTTAGCCCTTGAAACTTCATCTATTCAAAATACCGTTTCCAGGGCTAAAATAATGGCTGATAAGTCGCCTATCATGATGACCGGCAATTTAGTTTTAGCTCAGTCATACCTTGTTTCTTGCTCAACGTTACTGCTCAAAATGACCAGCAAGGCAAGGATTTGACCAGACAAGTTCCAATTCTGGACTGACATTGTCTGATATCTGGCCATTATTTTAAGCCCTGTGTATGTCTTCCCTGGTTCCTCAGTCATATAAATCTGCTGTAACTTCTCACTGTCATACTGTAGACCTGCCCACTGTGTTCTTTACAGTCATGCAAATTTTGCTAAGACATAATCTTTTCCTGCCTCAGGTTAGCAAAATGATAAACACATATGAAGATATGTTTGAATCAATGATATTCTCTGATCAATATGTTGGCCCAAAACAGGAGGATGAGTAAGTAGAGTACTGACAGCACTTTGCTCTTTTAATAGATAGTTAAGGGGGTATGACTTGGTCAGTCTATTCCTTTGTGCAGATCACACCTTGAATTCGTATGAAAAGCTCAATTTTGTACAAAATGACTTGTGTGAAAAGATAAATGTGCAAAAAGACCAGAGGTGCTTACCATTTACCCATTAAATTCTGGTTGAAAAAACCAATGGTATGTGTCATTCTGATCAGAAAGTTCCCTAAAACTACTTCTTCCAATAGAGGTAATCCACTTTTCCAGCCCTTTTAAGTTCTTCCAGTAGTTGGTGTACCATTCGCTGGAAGTCAATGTTTTGTTTCTTAGCATAAAGCAAATGAATTTTCCTTTCAGATGGATCAGTAGGGTGTATTTTTGTTGTCAATAATATCTTTCTTGGTTAAAACTGTTACCAAAGAAGCTTGCAAATTTACCTTCCATTGTCTATAAAATGTCTTTATTTCCTAATTCTCTCTCTGTAGTGATCAAGGAAATGCAAAACCTGTCAAACCAAAGAAAGTCTTGATTTTCAACTTTAAAGGTACAAATAATATTGTTATATTCAATCTAAGGGAATGACAAATAGTCTGAAATTGGAAAATATTATGTCCAAGCTAAACAATTCAGTTCATTGGAAAACCATAAAAATTCCAAGTATGTTAATTTTTGATTGAAAAAGGGGTAGATGCTTGGTATGACTTTTAGGCTTCCTGTCCTTTGATTTGGTACCTCTTAGGGTGTCACAAATGTAAAAGGATCATAAAAGAGTAAGCTGGTACCTCTGTAAGGGCGTTAATCAAGTAATGAGATACCTGAGATTATATTAATGACAGAGACAAGACTCTAGTACCTTCTACACGTATGAGTCATTTTTAAAATTTCCGAGGATCGTCCACCCACTCTTATATGTGCGAGTCGTACCCCTGAACCTGACGTTGTCTTTTTTGTTTAGTTGGTAACAGTAAAGGTAACACCAAGGCTCAAGATATGGTAAAACTAGAACCCATGACGAGGCTGGTCCTCTTTTGTATTGATAGAGTACGCAGGTTCAAGCTGGGAAAAGACGTGAGTATTGGATCAGGGTAGATTTTTGTCTTAGAACCCTATGCATAATGCTTCAGTCTTCTAACACTTCTCTTGGGTGCTACAAAGGAAATTTAATATTTACTAGTATTATACTAACTACATTTACTAGTATTATAACTACATTTACAATATTATAAGTAATATATACAGTATTATCATAATACCTTGTCCATCCACAGGCCAAAGCAAGAGCTGAGAAAAATCGCCGTGATCTTGAAGAGAGTATCTTGAAGCAAAACCATGCTCAAAGACAAGAGGTATGCTCTAAATATGGCTATTTATTAATATTCATTACTTGGTCAGTTTGTGAAACCTTTTTTTTTTTTCTTGATTCAAAAAGGCTGCTCAACTTCGTCGTGAGGAGAAAGCAAGAGAAAGCAAAGAAAAAATGATGCAAGAAGAAGATCCTGATAGACAGCGGCGTCTAGAGGTGAGATTAAAAGAATGTCAGACAACCATAGAACATTTACATGAAGAGAAGGGTAATCGTAGTATTTCTAGTACTACTGTAGAACCCATCAAGTGGACAACCTCTATTTAGTGAGACCTCTATTGAATGGCCGACCTCTTTTGAACGATCAAGTGGACAACCTCTATTTAGTGAGACCTCTA